AATAAAATTAAAACTTACATGAAATTAACGCGTTAACGATATTTAAAATTACTTTTTTGCGGTCTAGGTGCACGTACTAAGGATGAATCTAATGAGGAACAAGAACCGGAATACCAGCCTGCCAAGGAAACGGGATGCAGTTGTGGCAGTAAACAAAAGTCACGAAATAAAGCAGCATGTATCAACAAGGGAGGAAAGTCTCGCTGTCCTTGTGTGAAAAGAGGCCAAGCCTGCGATCGTGACCTATGCAAGTGTCGCTCCTGTGGCAATGTTGACGAGAAAAAATTGACGAAGAAATTGACGCAATGCCGGTGCGAAGAAGCCAAAAAAAAATGACAATGTAGAACAAACAGTTTCTTGCGTAGACGTTACAGGGAGAAACAGAACAAAATGCTCGTGTTTTACTGCTGGTTTAGCATGCAAAGACTGTAAGTGCTACAACTGTAAGAATAATATGAATAATAGAATAGCATGAATAATATCGACACTCCCACAAAAGGTAATGGCCAAGAAAACAAGAGGAAGTCTACGCTCTCTACTCCACCTTCTCTTAAAAGGCGTCGAGGAACTGAATATTTAAGGGATAATAACATTGATAATATTGCGGCGGGGTGGAGTCAGCTAGAGAACTGTGGTCTTGAAATGACAGAAAATTTTGTTCCCTCTTCTAATTTAGACCACACTAAAAAAAATATATGTACTCTGTACAATTTTGTGATTGACAGTGACTTTGCAAAATGCAATTCCTTCCGTTTTAATGGCCGCAAAACCCTCACACAGATCCATGGGAAACTAGCGTATATAAATAGAAGGACGGATGCTATATGGCGTTTGGCTAGTGGAGGNCTATATGCACCACGCTAAGTTTGTTTTTGGACACCTTGTTGAACAATTGAACAATTCAGAGTTTAAAAACGAAATGTCTGAAGCATACAAAGATGAAGCTGAACAAGGTAAACTCCTTGTTACAATGATAACATGAAAAGTTCAAAAAATACATTAAACAAATGGATAGTTTATTATGCCCATCTTGAAAAACAAGAACATGCATTACACTATTGGCAATATATACTCAGGCAATACATATTCAGAGTTTAAAACGAAATGTCTGAAGCATACAAAGATGAAACTGAACAATGTAAACTCATTGTTACAATGAAAAAATTGACGAAGAAATTGACGCAATGCCGGCGCCGAGAAGCCAAAAAAAATGATAATGTAGAACAAACAGTTTCTTGTGTAGACGTTACAGGGAGAAACAGAACGAAATGCCCGTGTTTTACTGCTGGTGTAGCATGCAAAGACTGTAAGTGCTACAACTGTAAGAATGGTTTTGGCATGAATACTAGCGACACTCCCACAAAAGGTAATTGCCAAAAAAAAGAGGAAGTCTACGCTCTCTACTCCACCTACTCTTAAAAGGCGTCGAGCAACTGAATATTTAAGGAAGAATAACATTGATAATATTGCGCGGGATGGAGTCAGTTAGAGAATTGTGTTCTTGAAATGACAGAAAATTTTGTTTCCTCTTCTTGTTTAGAACACACTAAAAAAAATATATGTACTCTGTACAATTTGTGATTGACAGTGACTTTGCAAAATGTAATTCCTTCCATTTTAATGGCCGCAAAACCCTCGCACAGATCCATGGGAAACTAGCGTATATAAATAGAAGGACGGATGCTATATGGCGTTTGGCTAGTGGAGGATCGAAAAGCTAGATTCAAATAGTTAAGTAAAATTGCTTCGAAGTAGCTTAGAGTCTTAGAGTTTTGTTTTATTCAGCTTAATATTATAACTCATTTGTTAATCGCATGCAGTACACAATAAAAATTAGGTTGTCACGAAAAGTTGGAAAGTTTCAATCGTTATTACGTGAGAACTCATTCATCAACAGAACCTGTTGGATCCTTAAGAACCCATAACTGAGTTGAGTGAAGTATTTTTTATAGTTGCATTTTGCTGTGTTTAAAGG